CGACCAGATGCGGCAAGGGCGCCCGCCTGAGCCCCCGTTGCGTTACAGTGTATTCAGAGTTTTCAATAGCGTTCCAGGCTATACAGTATATCTGAACAAGATTAGGCTGACAATCAAAATACATCTCTGTGATTTTGTACTAGATACTAGAGATCATGAACTCTGTGAAGTGACAGATAAATAATGTTACAAATATGGGTGGACAAAATGGAGAAAATCAGAAAATGAGTTTAGCAGATTAAGCAGTAAGTAAAATAAATAATCATCAACCCCAACATGTAAACATTTCTGCCAAAAATATACCTGAGTGATTGGTATAATTAGAGGCACATGAACTCTTGCACAGCTGTGGTGTGAAATGGTGCGAATTCAGGCGAACTTGGATAAACAAATATTTATAAACAGTGACAATACACACACTAAACAACTCACAACATAAAATTACCTCATACAAGTTACACTATGTACCAATTTACAAATAAGGGGTCCCAAAGGCCTAATGTCCTAACCACCCAGAAAAACCCCAGACTATTACAAAGTATTCAAACTCTTATATAACAGTTACAAAGGCCAAAATAAGAGAAAGCTTTATTCTAAACCAACCAGAATATGACCTACAGTTAAATCTCTCTCTCTGCAAACCCAGATGCCACAAGTTGAATGGAAACCTATCTCCCTAGTCTAAAACTGTACCCTCAAAACTAGGAGAGGCCGTTTTTAACCAAGGGATTCTTTAGACAGGAAAACAGAGTTCCCAAAAACACAGAATTGCAAGCTCTCATAACAGGTTTCAAATACTTAGCTCCAATATGGTCTTTCCAGGTGATCTGCAACAAGGATCTCTCTTGTCTTTTGTCCTTCTCCCACTGTTTTTCACTTACATGTATATAGTGTCTTTCTGGACTGTTGATTGATACTTAATCATTTCCTCAGAACTTAATGAAGTACTTAATTAAATAAACCAAGGTAAACTTTCTGATTGCTTTGGTAACTGATTCTGGTTTCATGTATCTGGATTTTTAGAGACACTTCAATCTATAACTGTCATAATAAGAATACCCCATTTTTTTTAATCAAGAATGGTGTTTGAGGTTGGGCGTCTCACAATCCAATTCCAAAATCATATAGACAGTGTTCTTATTTGAACAAGATTCGACTGAAATTGCAAGTACTGACTTTTTTGCATAGGCACTAGAGAACATGGAGGTTCTGTTTTTATTTCAGTGTCTCAGATGTCATCCAGGCTGAACAGTTTAACTTCCCAGCTCCAGGCTCAAGGTTAGTGCATTGATTTTGGACCAGGAGAGATGATATATTCTAGGCAGTATGGTAAACACATTCAGCTGGACCAGAACTGTGCATCCTGGGCATCTACCCTTACTGTTTTAAAGTGATTAAAAAGAGAAATTGCAGCCTCTAGGAATGTACTGTTTTACCTGGATTTCCAAGAAACGTTTAATATGATGTAAGATCCTCACATATTTGCTATATTTGCCTGTTAGGAAAAAGAAATCCGGATCAAATCCCCAAAGAAGTGTTTGCATTATCATTAATTAATGCATTCTAAATTTTCAGTGGATTAGAAATGTGTTACACTTTTCACTTCAAAGGAGAGTATTCAATAAATAAAAGGTTGACAGCATTACCTATCAATCTAGTCAGCAAAGCAATAGCAGGTGTAGATACTGGATCTGCATATTGTAGGTACTTGTGGTCAAATGACTTGTACTTGATTGTGTCACATCAGGTAGTACAGGTGGTAAGTGATTGCATGGTTTTCCAGGGAGAAATAATCCATTCATGATTAGATCACAATCAGAAAGTCTCTGATCCTGGTGAGCATAGCAGCTACACAGTAACCTATCCCAGAAACACAACAAAAATGAGAGCATATGATTTCAACACCAGTCCATCATAAGGTGACGGATAAAGAGAACAGTTCGAATAGTCAGTCAAACCTATCTAGAACATTCTGATAAGATGGGGAGAAATTGAAACACATAAGAAAAACTAAAACCTAATCAATAGATGCAGTGTTAATATCCATGCCAATTTGCTGCAGAAATTAGATTGAAACTTTATAAAAACTAAGCACAGACAGAAAACAATTGTTGAAAAGATACATTTTCTATGAAGTCTTCTTAGTAAAATCATGAGTCTAGTGTACAAGAGTCCCAGTTTTTTCTCTTGCTATGCTGTTTTAAGTAAAGTGATTGTTGGAAAAAGAAACCTAACAAAACCTAACAAAAATGGAATTCTTTAAACAAGTATTTTTATTGGGAAAGTAACAATGTCAACAGAGACAGAAAACATCTCCTTTTTTATATTTGCCTGTAGGTTGTACAAAATCGTGCTCCAGTGACTGGATCCTGTTCAGTGGAAATTGTTACTATTTTTCAAAAGAAACAAGAGACTGGAGTGGAGCTCAACAATACTGTGGCAACCAGGACTCTGGCCTTGCCATTATCAACAATGATGATGAGCTGGTGAGACCGAGATGCTTTCTTTCCCTCTATATTTGACATTGAATTGAAAAATTCAGTCCAGAAATCTGGTGAAGTTAAGTATGGCATTGAAAAGAAACATTTTAAAATTGCACTTGGTTGAATTTATTTACAAAAATAATTCTTGCAGAATGATGAGCAGCTAAATTATTTCTCAGTGAATATTTTTTAAATACGGTATGTTGCATTCCAAAGCATTGAATTTTAGCAGAGATGCAGAGGCCTAAATGCAGCCCCATAGTAAAGCAAGTTAAAGGAGATAGGAAATGGAGAGAAGGTGATCACAGGAAATAATATGCAAGAGGGGAGTGTGGAGGAGAAGGTTCCAGATGAAGCTGGTAGGGTTTGGGCCTGGAACCTGGAATTAGAGAGAGGAGAAGCAGGAAAAATCAACAGGGACACAATAGGAGAGGACCAGTAAGCTTGAGGTGGATGTTGAGGGAGGAGATAAAGTGTTGCAGAGCTTGTAGGCATCTGGAGATAAGAAGAAAAAGAAAATGAAAGACTGGAAGGGGGAAGAATTTTGAGAAGAGAAGAAATGGTGAATAAGAGCTTAAACTGATTTCTGGCAGCTTAGTCTGATTTCAATCCATCTGGCTCGTATCTCAGCCTAGAACAAGTCGAGAATCCAAGATGTTAAGTTTTCACTCCCCTTTTCCCACTGCTGCATTTAATGCTCTTTTACAACTCCTCATCAGAATGAACAGCAGTATTTTTAATGTGTCCATAAACCACATGGGCACCATAGGTACTGCAATGGCGTGTCAATCCTTCATATCTTTCATCATTGCTCCCAGACACATCTGAGCAGCAAAATCTCTTCTATCCATTGGCTGGGCTTGACTGACCTTGACAGGGAAGGGAGCTGGAAATGGGTGGATGGAACACCAGTGGACAAAAAGTAAGTGACAGCACTGCTACACCAGATTGAGGGTGGCCTGGTAGCAAAATGATGTTTCTTGGTCCCTTAGCCATTCCTGCACTGCTACATGGACATTGCTGTCATCACCGAAGCTACAATCTCAGAGTAGAGTGGTATCCATGGAATGGATATACTCAAGATCAACAGCTTCAGAAAGGTGCAAGTTATGACAATATTCCTGGAAAGGGATGATGACAATATTCTGTTTTTTTTTTCAGCCACTTCAATGTGAAGCAAGACATGTGCAAATTAAACTGAAATGCACATTACAAAATAAATTGAGAAAATATATTTATTTTGTTATTTAGATACTGGAATCTTGGCGAGCCCAACAATGCTGGCGAGGAGGACTGTGGAGAGCTGAAAGAAGCTAAACTGAATGATGGACGTTGTAGCGAGATTAAAAGATGGATCTGTGAAAAGAGGTTATAGCCTTCCTGTCCCTACCTCTCCTGAAACAGGCTCTTGAGGACCCCAGCACAGCAGTCTTCATTTTGCATTCAACAGCAGCAGTATTTATGTAATTAATGGGAATGTGCAAGCAAATCTACTGTATGGCACAAAATCAGTGGCAGTATTAACTAAAAACTGTGAACTCTTTGCTTGCATAGTTTTCAATCATTGGTACAATAAAGTAAATCATCATTCCCAGCAGCAGCAATGACAACAATTATAACATGTGGTGGCACATTGGTTAGCATTTTTGCCTTGCAGAGCTGGGGACAGAGTAAAATAATAGGAATAATAAAGTAATAATAATAATTGCTCATACTTATCTTTTCTGGATACTCCACTCAAAGCGCTTTCCAGGTAATGGGGGCTCCCCTCCACCTCCACCAATGTGCAGCATCTACCTGGATAAAGCTGGGGTGCTATCTGCATTGAGTTTGTATGTTCTCCTCTTGTTCTCCTCTTGTTTGTATGGGTTTTCTGCCAGATGCTGTGGCTTACTCCCATAATCTAAAGACATGCTGGTTCATTGGCTTCTGGGAACATTGGATCTAGTGTGAGTGTGTTTATATCTGTGTCTGTCCTGTGATGGACTGACTTCCCATCAAGGATGTAGCCCACCATGTGTCTGTTTCTAGCTTGAATGGTGTCCAGCCATACCCCAGTTTCAGTTTCACACTGCACATTTAATTAATTTTGAACTTATTTGTACACATATGTGTGCTTCAAAGGGCTTTGATATTCTGTTATGACATTGTTCAGAAAAAGGATGTGTAAATCTAATTTTCAAAACAAAGTACAGTACCACAAAGCAAAAACTGTGAGAGACCTTGTGCTGTGGGTCTGGTTTTGAAAAGGCAATGATATGGTTGCCACAGTATTTCATCACTCCTTTAGTTCTTGGATGACAACAAGAAATGTGTTCCCCTTTGTCACATTTCTGCTGCAATGCTGACACCTACAGTGGATCTTCAATGTTATAATTACATTATCTATTTCTTTTTTTATAATGTCTTCATTGTGTATTCCTTCTGGCACAGATCATCATCTGTAGAATGAATTAAAATCTGCTTAAACAGGACAGTCTTGTGTAAATGAATAAACACAATTTAATAAACCTGTTGCATTGTGGCCTGTATTCACAAAGAAATAGACAGTTAAGTTAGTTCAACGTCTTGTGCTCAAAAACTGTTTCAATTTTGTTGGAACAGGCCATCTGAAATGGAGGCAGTGATATTTCACATTAATCTCTGATCTTTTATTACCTGAGAAAAAAGAAAACATAACTTAAAAGAGTCTTACACATCTGGTTCTCAACAGTTGCAATTGTTTCTCTCACAAAGACACTATTAGCTTTGCTGCTTTAAGCCCTCATTCTAAACTGCAGTAACAAAACTGCTAACGAGCTTAAGAGTGTCAGTCTGTTCCATTTAAAATATAACAAATTATATGACCAGACATTTATAGTTCTGGAAACTATACATTTTGTGTGGGACATTAGATTGTGAGAAAAAAATACATCATGCTAATAACAAGATTGAATAATCTTATGTAATAATCATATGACCCTGTAACTCAACTCAACTGGCAACCTATTGAATCTAAGCAGGTGTGAGCCCAGTCAGTACCTGGATGGGAGACCTCCTGGGAAAAAATGGGGAAAATGGTTGCTGCTGGAAGAGGTGTTAGTGGGGCCATCAAGAGGGTGCTCACTCTGCAGTCTGTGTGGGTCCTAATGCCCCAGTATAGTGATGGGGGCTCTATACCGTGAAAAAGGTGCCATGCTTTGGAAGAGACATGAAACCAAGGTCCTACTGTAACTCTCTGTGGTCATTAAAAATACCAGGGTGTTTCTTGAAAACAGTAGGGGTGTTACCCCCAGCATCCTGGACAAATTTCCCTCTGGCCTTTACCAATTCTCCTAATAATCCCCCATCAATAAAAAATTGGCTTCATCACTCATAGCTTGTGTGTGGTGAATGTACTGACGCACTATGGCTGCTGTTGCATCATCCAGGTGGGGATGCACACTGGTGGTGGTGGAGGGGAGACCCTGTTACCTGTAAAGCGCTTTGAGTGGAGTGTCCAGAAAAGCGCTTTATAAGTGCATTATTCATGTTGTGCAGCAATAAATGACTTTTCACTTGGAAACTGGATTTAAAATATTTAGACTGAATTCATTGACTGAACAAATTTAGAGTAACTTCTTGTAGCATGGGGTATTCTGTATTTAATCTTCAATCTGTGATCTGAAAGTTTGGAAGATATATTAAAACCTGGTTTCAACAAAAGTGAAATAGTCAAGCCTGTAATACTGTCAAAAAATGAATTTACAGTATGTTGGAGTCTCAGATGTAAAGACTATGGATCCCTTCCAGAGATCTGTTATGACTTTCTGTTATACTATTCTTTTGTCAGGAGCACAGTGATAGAACTGAAGCTCTTTATGTGTTAAAGTCTCATGCACCAACTCCTGAAGAGTCTATCCAGTTTGTTCTTCATCGATAAAAAACAAAGTAGTTAGTTGGGATGAAAGCACCCTGCAGCCTTTTAGAGTCAGGTCTTTTTATTGAACAAAATTTTAGATTTAGATATTTTTAAATCATATAAAAAATTAAGAAGGACTGCCTCAAATGAGTAGTAAATGCATGTGTCTAAAATAAGTGTTAAAAACAATTTATTTTAAATTATCAAAAGCTTTTGACAAATGCTAAGAATCTTACATATAATGTAATGCACATTTAATTTAAATTAAATTAAAGAATTTTGCTTTATCCAATGCTTCTTTTGCACAGGTAACTTCTTCATGTATGAAACAATCTTCACATTTGTGAAAACAAAAACAGCTTTTCTTTTTTTTAAAAGGAAAGCATTACTTTAGTAGTTATACAGAAGGCATTATAACTAGTAAGTAAACATATACAGTACTATAAGTATATATAAGTTAGACATTAAGTTATAAGTTATAACTATAAGTTAGACATTATAAGGCATCATATAAATATATAAATTACATAGATTTTAAACATCTACATTCCACAGCACAGATTACTTTTGGGTTGTAAGCACTGCTGCCTCACAGCTCCAGGGTCCTTGGTTTAAGTTCAGCCTTGACAGTCTGTCTGTGTGGAGCTACTGTAACACATTCTTGGTGATTTTCTTGCCTGTGTTTCTATTTCCTCTCATCTAAGATAAGATAAGATCACTTCATTGGCCATACACAATTTCTTGTATTAGGAATTTCTTTTTTTTCAAGCATACCCCAACTTGTTCTCCATGAGACCCATAGACAGGGAGAGAAGCTTGGGGTCAGAGCACAGGGTCAGCCATTTATACACTGCCCCCAGGGAAGTTGGGGTTAAGGGCCTTGCTCATGGGGCCAAAGGAGTAGGATTCCTCTGCCGGCAGCGGGATACGAACCGGCAACCTTCCAGCCACAGTCCTTTCCTCTGTGGCACTGTGATGGATTGGTATTTCTATCTGGGAGAAGAACAAGCATGTGCTTCTGGGAATGGAATTCTGGGATTTCAGTTCTATTTCTTCAAGTTAGGCTTCATAGACCTTGACATCACCAGTGACGTTGTGATAATGCATGAAGATTTCTTTCATTTCACATTTAAATCCTTAACAGGATTTAAATCCTCTTAACAGATCTGCTTAAGGGGGGAGTGCAGTACAAGGACAAGATTGCCTTGGTTCCCGCAGCAAAAGCCGCCT